ATATGTCAGTCCTCTTAATACATTGAACGCCGCGTGTACTGTCGGCAGTACACGCGCACAGTCCCGTTTCTCGCGATTTGTGTATTGCCCACAATTCACGTTTTGTGGATCGGTTTTTTCGTGGATAAGAGTGCGACTTGAACCATTCTCACCGTGTATATGTTCAGTGAGCTTTGCTTATGCTTAGTTCATGATGGCGTGAAATAAGCTGCTCATTGGAGTAATTCATTAATATTATTACAAAATAACAGTCAGTGGCGCGGTAGTTGCACTTCTTATGATAGCTCCGCATCGCTACAATGGTAGTAAGACTTCTAGTGATAATTAGTGCCAATTTGCAATACATTTGATAGTGTTTAATTCATTATGATAACAGTATTTATGTGGTCAAAAGTGACGTTTAGATCTTCTACATTGTCCAGATCCATCTATGCAGCTATAAGAAGTCATCATTGATAATGTAAAAATGAGCGCAAAAGTAACCACAATGTGCGTGTAAAGGGGCATGCGGCACAAAGACTCCCGTTTCGCGCGTTTGTGTATTGCACGCAATTCACGCGCGCGGAGACGCAGGAAGTAAAAACGGGAGTCGCCGTAAAAACCCGCGGCGTTCAATGGGTTAAATCTACGCAGGCACGAACGCGTTGCATTTGTTTCCGTGTGGAACCCTATCTCTCCGTATGAGGCCGTATCCATCGCCTTCCTCGTTTAAATGTCTGCCATCTTTCTCTCAGGTCTCTCGTTTGCACAACAAAGTCTCGCTCCTTCGAATATTTGTCTAAGGCTTTGCCGCTATTTAGTAAGACTCCGCTTTCTTCACTTGTGAGTGAATTATCACCTGCGAGTTCATGTTTGGAGACAATCTGCATTTGTTGAAAGTGCAAATAAACATTACGACTGTTACACCACATACAGTGGAGGTGCTGTACAGGTAAAAAGCACTGCTTACCACCTGCACGGTCTCGCCTCAAACCCCAAATCGATTCTGCTCAGGCCAACCAACCCCTAACCTTCCACACCACATGGCGCTTACGCTTACCTCAGGGGGGGGGGGCGGAACGGAACACCTCTGAGCGGTCGTCAACCAATCAAATCCAGTATACTGTAGACATGTGAATACCTGATAAACTCTTCAACACCCTGTAAGCCTTGTTATCACCTGCTAAGCATCTGCAAGGTCCTATCAAACCTGTGAAAATGACTGGTCAAGATTTGGAATAAGGAGAGGTAGATGACGCTATCACCGCTTTGCCAAAATTGACAGGAGTTCACAGCTCAATCGACTGGAGTTCACAAGACTCACAGGCAAGGACGAATTAAAAGGCCTTACAGGAGTCCCGACCCTTTCGTTAGTTAGTTAGTCCCGCCCCCCCCCCCAAAATTAAGCGGCCAGACATATCAAACACTAGCCTTTCCTACCACATGGATGCAAAATCTCAAAGAATTCTTGAGGAATTACAAACTCACTGTATGTGCTGTTGATAACTTGCTGGTTCCATGTAGGCTTCATAGCAGTAAGGGCACTTGTAGCCCCAATCGCGTCTTGCGGTGTGACTGCGAAGTTTATGCCTTCGTAATGTCATTTGACTCGCTGAAAACACCATGTTTAAAAAGAACAACAAAATGACGTCAGCTATATGTGAAACGCAGCTGTGGACGAGTGCAGTAACTTGCGCACGTGGTAGAATGAGTGATGCACTTTTTATTCATAGCGACAACTTTTAGTTGGTTTTGGAAGCCGGGGTAGCTCGACAACGGGGGAGGGCGGAATGGGGATTTTGCGCTTTTGTTACGTCCCTGCGACGTGTCGAGCCATCTAGAGAGCTATTTCATGAGCTTACAAGAGTGAGAGCGGTGTGCTTGTTCTAGCTCTACAAGTGTTCAGAGCTTCCAGCAGAGTAAGACTGTTTATAAACTGGAACTAAAGAAGCAGCAAAGGTGCAAAATGCCCCCTCCGTCGCAGAACTGCGCCTGGCATCTTGTGATTGCAAAACTGAGCACAACGCTATGGTCCCCAAAACATAAAAGGTGCAATCAGTGTAGAACAAAACTGCTGTCTTTACCGGTATGAAGCGGTTTCGGAGGCTTGATTTAATCTAGTGGATCTCTGGCTTTTTATAATGAAATGACAGAAAAAATTGGAAAAAAATTTGAAAAAAAAAACAAAAAACGTAGAACATAAAAAAAACATGTACGCTGCGCTTACTGAAGGGCTTTTTGACATTAGGGGTTAGTATCAATAAAAATTTGAATGAATTACGGTGATATAGCGGCTAACAGCTTGTTAGTCGTGCATTAAGGGGCGGGGGGGGGGGCAAAGGCGCAGTTTGGCGACGGGGGAGGCATTTTGTACTTTCATTGGTTCCCTGGTTCGGGTTTCTCTCTGGTGAAGTCTCACTCTGGTGAAACCTGTGAACTCTTGTGAAGCTGGAGCAAGGTCGTCAAGCCATCATGGGGAAAACCTGTCAACTCGAGAAGAGGCTGTCTAGATAGGTCGACACGTCGATGGAAGTAGCAAAAGTGCAAAATGTCCCCCCCCCCCATCACCGAACTGCGTCTTCCAGATATATCGATACCATAAGTATCTGGGAGGGTAATGCCAATTTGTACACTGGCACACCCTTCCACCATAATAAGACCGTATTGCATTCAGTAAACTCTACGATTCTTAAAGCGAATAGAATGTCCATTGTTTCCTAAAGCAGACGCAGTTTGGCTTGATGGGGGCATTTTGCAGGTTACTTGGGATCGCTATCGAGAGTCCTGCAAACTGCTGCAAAGCCACCACGGCCGAGCTCCCTTTACAATTTACAAGAGTTTACAAGTCGCATCATGGTGAAAGTTAATTTGAACTAGTAAAAGAAACTAGCGAACTAGGAAAATGCCCCTTCAAAGCCGAACAGCGCCCCAAAATGGAATTGTAAGACGGTGGAAACTCTATCCTTTAGGTGACCACTGGGAACACGGAAGTGTTCTCCTTCTCTCACAGGCTGATGATCTGTTCTTCATTCTGTGAGTTTGTCTGAACAGAGCACTACGACAAAATGATGTTAGTGCACTCAGCGATTTTTATCAAGAAATAAAGTACGAGTTTGTACATAGTGTATCCGTAGAACTCTATAAACCTGAATTTCATAACTGACCAGGGGGTTCGACCTGATATGGCCGGGTTAGGATTGGCGTTAACATCGCTCACGAAAGCAGGTTGTCTAGTAACAGCTTCACTTCGTGGCGATTCCGCAGCGAAAGATCGCAAGTGCTCTACCTTGACGGGTAAACCATGGACCGTGGGCATTTCAGAGCATTTCGAAGCCAAACGCACACCAAGAATAGTAGGATTTCCGAGAATACAACTTTAGACACTCGTTTTAGTACTTTTTGCCTCGGAAGGTGTCACTCCCAGGCGGGACTAGACATTGTCACATCTGTCCGTCCGCACTCTCTCGCCAAGACAGCGTGACATATTAGAGCATGACTTGACTAATACGTGTGAACATTTCTCCCTCACTGCACCCTTTCCCCCTACCTATGTAAGACCTGGCTTTGCGGCACCAGAGCATAATGGGGCTAACCATGAGCGTCGCTAGAGGGTGACACTTCAAATTCAAAAGGCAAATAGCGCTTCATTTTCTAGACGCAGCTAGTTTCCAACCAGAGCACATCATCCGTTAGGTAGAACACGGCGGAGGATGTACCTGTTTGCTGTATAGGGGCGAGTTGCCATAAAGAAGCTTTTTCTATTTGTTACTTTTCCATTTCACAGGCGCTGAGGTTGGTGGGACAGCAATTTTCCCTTCAGTGATAATTATTCTGAAGTTGACTGAAGGTATGTACATCCTCAGTCAACTCAATAGGTATTGATTTTTTAGCTATTCCCATTTCTCACTAACTCAGGCCGCGTTCATAGCTTGCGACCATGAAGAAAGTGAAGAAGTGCCGAAAGTGCGGAATCTGCAGAAATGCCGAATGTGAAGAAAAGCAATAGATATGTATCGATTTGAAGAAATTGCGGAAAGTGCGGAATCTGCAGAAAGAAAGAATCGATACGTATCTATTGCTTTTCTTCACTTTCTGCAGATTCCGCACTGCACTTTCCGCACTTTCTGCAGATTCCGCACTTTCCGCACTTTCTGCACTTCCGCACTTTCCGCAATTTCTTCAAATCGATACATATCTATTGCTTTTCTTCACATTCCGCATTTCTTCAGATTCCGCACTTTCGGCATTTCTTCACTTTCTTCAAATCGATACGTATCTATTGCTTTTCTTCACTTTCCGCACTTTCGGCACTTCTTCAGTTTCGGCACTTCTTCACTTTCTTCATGGTCGCAAGCTATGAACGCGGCCTCAGAGATATTCTGCACGTCTTTTTTGTGCTCTTAGCGATTCAATGTAACCGCCTGAATCGCTCAGGCATTTTTTGCCTTATTTTATTTTTCATGGTTCATAAAAATACAAGATCCATCACTGATAAAGAAAAGAATAATTGATGATTCACAGGGGTTTACAGAACTACAGATTCGTCCGGTATACTGACAGGTCACAGGATTCCCCCTCCCCACGGTCCTTCCGTGGTACTGATTTCAACCAGTCTATGGCTGTACATTGCATAAAATTTGGAAGTTATCAATATTCCTGGGTTATTTCGCTCACTTCCGGGTACTATGACATGGCAAAAAACTAATTTGTTACTACAACGCAGGTTCTCCATATCGAACAGTCCTCGAGTAGTACAATGTGCGACGACAGCTCTACGCCTTTCTATCCCATTTTTGACCTCCTAGCAAACTCGAGGCTACCTTGGTGTGATAGAGAAGGTCCTGACTGCAATCAACCGCTTCGTGTAACATTAGTACACTCCATATCCCAGTGATGGAGTTGGCACGGTCGCGTGCGTCGCTTGAGTGAGGCGACGACAGGGCTTTTCTGGGATATGGAATTATCCCATGGAAAGCGCATCCAACATCACACTCAATGCAGTGCACAGTCCCCCCCCCCATCTACGGAATATGGGGCGTATGAGATAAATCTAGGATTATCTCGAAGACACCATTCGCACCATTGCCTGGTATGACCGGTACATGCTTTATATTACATATATGACCCCTCACTCCATCCTGGGGAAATCTGCACCGAATATTTCGACAAATACGAGAAACGACACAGAATCGCAGACCTGCCGCATAATCGCAGTGCTCGCATGCAAACGGCCTGGCGTCGTTGTGAATGTTCATATGTTCGTCGTATGATCGTTTAGACGACAAGCTCTTGCCACAGACACTGAAAAAGTCATTTAGAGGTTATTTTAGGAAGCCTGCCGTTGACACATCCATAGAGAACTCTCTGAATGAAAAAGGCCAATTTTCTGATAATGGAGAAATACTTCCTGCAGCCCACCCACTAGTGCACCCACAGAAAAGAGAAATAAAGTGTGGCGCGCACATAGCCTAATCTTCATTCCGAACCCGGCTCATTAAGGCTTTAAATGCATTGCATAAATCAGTCATAGGGCCACAAATTTGATGTATAACTGCTTTTGCCATTCATGACGCCGCTTTAAATAGGGCTTCACGTCGATTTGCTCACAAACAACGCTGAGGTTGGAAGGTGCGTAAAAATGAGGTGGATTAAGAAGAAATTTTACCAATGTTCACTAGAAACGCTAACCACGAACCAATGTTGATTACCTGCAATGCCAACGAGTTCTTTGAGCAGGCGGTACTAGACTGATAATCTGTCCCTTGCAGTCGGCCATATTGCCCTTTCCACTTCTATGAACTGATGGGCCAGGAAGTAGGTGAGCCTGAAATAACCGGGTAGTAGTGTAACACTGAAAAAAAAGAAGGGATGCTTCAGTTAGGGAGGGCATAAAGTCGGTCCACAGCAGCCAAATATTCAGCAACGAGCCCATGGCTTCCCTTTGAAAAAACAGGCTCTAGCCAAATATGCTAGGGGATGGGTGTGACGGTGAGCCAGCCTAGTTTTCTCCTACTGAAGAGGAGAGAGCGGCGAAAACAGGTGGAAGCTGCGCCGAACTCAGCCTCAGTGGCACTTCTCAGCATTCGCAGAACAAGGATAAAGTAAAAAAGGATAAAGTCTTCGCCGTTGATCAATCCCTTTGTGGGATGCGGCACGCATTCTACTTCCATTCAGAATCGTAGTGGCTTATTGAATGCGATGTGGCCTATACAATGACTTGCGGGCCAGCCGATGTACAAGTCAGTGTTTTATCCTCCCAGACGAATCTGGTACCAATTTACCGTCCCCGGAGAGGTAGAAGGTTTGGTTGGCCTGGGAGCCGACCCAGGATTTGACCCTTGGATCGCGCGCGTGGTAAGCATATCACTGGCCACTAAACTCCACCTCCAGCGAACTAGGCTGCAATATATGGTATTTGGTGCAACATTTGGTCGAATTGCCGGGATCAACTCCGAAGGAGCCTTTCCAAAATGAGCTTTGTTGCTCTGTCATTTCCTCGTCATTCCAAGGATCTAGCGATGGAGATGCAAAGAAACGGTTGAAACGATCAAAAAATGAGGATTGTTACTAAAGTGTAGAGAGAAGGAGCTCCACAGCGAGTGACCTCACCTATTCTGAGGCTCCCCTCCCCTAGCGTGGGACAAAACAAAACCTCCTTATTGCTCAAAATAACAGTGTCTGCAGGGGTTACTGCTTGCACTGAAACGGCCTTGTATTCCGCTAGTGCAAAAACCTCTCCTTTGCAGTCATTGTATAGAACGTAAGGTAAACAAAGTATATTCCCGAACTCCATCGTACATGGCAATCTAATGTAATCCGAAATGGGGTTTTGGAATACTCTGAAAGGCACGCTCAAATACTAATGAAGGGGTGGTAAATAGCAAACAGCGAAAAAAAGGACTAAAACCCATCCGAAATGCTCCATACAAAACCCTTGACGAACGTTTCTACGTGAATAAGGGGAACAGAGGGCGTGGTCGGGCTGGTCGGACGAGTTTTAACATGTTGGCGTCTTCCTTCTTATCACCTCACCCTCACCACTTGAAATGTGGACGAGTAACTGAACCACAGCACAACCTGGCAACTATGGAAAATGAAAGTTGGGCGTTGCCGTGGCCAGAGGGTGGGATGGTCGCCTCATCGCGAGCGGTTCGCGCTTCACGTATTTTCAGGCTGCGAAAATATTACATCCTGCACGCCTGCAAGCAGGACTATCATGTCAATTGAAGACGAGCGTGCCTTTGAGAATCTCATGATGGCAATATTGTTTCAAAAAGTCCACTTACGCCATTGTTTGAAATACACTATTTTAAAGATCAAACTTATTTCGTAGACTTACCGCGTCGGTTTTTGAGCGACTTATGGGCAGAGAGACTTTCCCTTGTCGATTCACAAACATCACCTTCATCCTGGCCCTAAAACAACGGATATCTTTGTAAAAAATGGAGCTGGTAACCCGTTCTTGAAGTGCGATGGAGTCACTCAACATGTCATAAAAGGGTACACTACTAGCTAGATAAACGGTTAAAACAATGAACTGCAACGACAGAAAAGTCTGAATCCTGCTTAAGTGAAATGCGTGCTCTGTTATTTGCAATCCTTATAGAAGATGCTACGAACAAGCTCTTACCAATAAAGATTGGCAAGGACACAGCTCTCACCTCACCTAATCAGAGCCCGTGCTCGAAGTAAAAAGCACAAGAAGCTCCTAACTACGACAAGGAAAGATGGATTTACCAGCCAAAGCGAACACAACATTGGTACTACCCCCTTCCCTTCTTGTACCAACGCTTTCAACGTACACCTTGTTTTCGAATAACTGCCTAAGGCAGCGTCTTACGTATGCATTAAAAATAAATGAATAAAAAAATCACAACAGAAAAAGGAACAATGGTAACGAGCGACCCGACCGAGCAATTTCACGCAACTGTAGTATTTTTTTCAAACGTCAATCCAAGGTGCGCGCGAATAAGCAAGCCGTCTAATTGTTCTCTGCAGTAGTGTCAGTAAGAAACAACTCTGCACTGTTGCCTAGAACGTCTCGGTAGACATATTTGAGGTACTTTGGAAGGTGAAGTTTGCTCATGCTTCTGGATTATGTACCAGAAGGAATGCCAGTGCGGTTGGGTTCTTCTTTGGAAGGCAGAAACATCACTACAGAGAGTTACAGAGTGAGAGAATCCCACAACGCAGCCCAAATTCTTTTTCTTTAAATTATGGTGGAGCTCTGCTGCGAAAACCTTGTTAAAGGTCCCAGTTTGAAAGTGCTAGTCATGGGTCACGTCTTCCTTCTAAAGGAAAAGACTGAGGTAGATGGAATTGCGGAACTCGGAACTATAGTAACGTAGCGTGAAGAAGGTTTTGGAGACCCCCTCACAGGGAAGAAAAAGCTCCCTGTCAGCGAAAAAGCACTGGTGTCGCAGAATTGCAGTCGGATGGTTTTCTCAGGAAGAGGAATTGTAGAGGAAGGTTTTGGAGACCACCTGGAAGTAAAAAGGCTCCTTGTCAGTGATAAAAGCTCACGTAGCACAGGCATTGCAGTTGGATGGTTTTTTCAGGAACAGGAGAAGTAGAGCCGATAGAGGGGTGAATCAGGGGATCGCTAATTTATCCTCAAGATTACATGAGTATATGGTGGAGTAGCAACTGACTATGCTTATCCTACGATCCGTGAATTGAGCCTTTAATTGGCTCTTGATGATATTAACCAGGATTTTGCCCGCCCTGGGTCATTCAGTTGCTGACAGATTTGTCCAAGAGATGAAACGATTAAGGTTTACATCAGTAGACCTTGAATGCCACTGCATAGGATAGGTGCCCATTTTAATGACTCCACAATTTTTAGAGAAGAGAGAGAACACGGCGCATCCGGAATTAGGATTAATCAACTGTGAGCGTCCATTTCTTCATCCTTTCTTGGTTGAGCTCAAAGAGCCAGGGCCAATCGCACGTTGCGGTTTCGGATCCCTCAACATAGGAGCGTTAGTTTGATGTGGAGAAATTTTCTCTAATTTCTGATTTTTCCCTTTCATGCGTGATATTGTGGGGCTGTTCGGCTTGGAGAGACATTCTGCCCTTTCCCTAGGTCTTTCCGAAAGTAGTAGCGATGAAATGGTGCGTGTGCGCTAGGTCACAGGAATAAACAGGTATCCACTAGGTGGCCTGCTCTAACTTGACTGAGTACCATTTGGTGCCCCCACCAAGCCGTACTGAGTTGATATTTTCTCTTCCCTTACGGGTTTGATAAGAATGCACTAGTTTGCTGGAGATTTACTCCGGTAAGGGGTGCGAATTCTACCCTTCACTTCACTCTTTGGAAGTTCGTTCATAGGGAAACCGCACTCCTCTTCATTTACCTCAGTCATCTGCCATCTCCTAACATTCGATGAGAGGGCTTCGAGAAGGAAGAACGCCTAGTAGGGATACAGTATCCATCTTGTGGTCCGCTGAACCTCCACCCTTGCCCACCATAGTCTTCAAGCCTTCGCTTATCACCGCACTACTTTTTTTTGAATTTGACTTTATGACAGCTTTGGGAACGTACCGGCCCTGCTTAGTTTCCATTTGAGAGGCTCATGTGTGAAGGGAGCCATACTTTTAGAGGGTCGCATCGCATTTTCTGTCCCAACTTTTGACAGAGCTGAATTTTCATTCGATAACGCTGAGATCTGAAAACATACGGAAGGGCACAAGCCCGATAGTCCGATAAGAAAAACACCAGAGATCGAAGCGCAAGGGAAGTGGCTACGAGGAGCCCCAAGAGAAACATGCGGAGAGTTCAGTGAGAGGGACTTCACTGGAGTTGTGTCAAAGGCAGAAGATTTCTTGACAGGGGAAGGCAGCGAAGTCTAACAAGAGCAGGAAGCCCCACGACGGTGCGAGATCACCACAACGGAGAAGCCATTTTTTTCAAATTTCACACTTTACTTTTTTCCCTGCACTACTATTACTCCGGCAGTCAAACCGGAGTTTTGACCTGTCGGACCAAGCTGGTGCCGTCGAACCATTTCACGAGGAAAAGGGTCCCCATCTCTGGCTGCTTTCTTCCTAAACCATTCACCCTACCCGTTCACCATTATTAGAACAAGGCAGCTCTAGACTGCCTCATTCTGCCCCTCCTTACCCTGCCCGACTGGTTGCGACGCTATCATCTATACGTTCCTCCTTCTCCCAACCATAAGCCTATTGAGACTGAGAAGGATTGGCGCCTAATTTCCGGACTCCTTTGAGCAATTCGTCTTACCAATCGGCGTTGGTGAACTAACGATAAAGTGTGTCCCCTGAAAAAAATCCGGATTATTTTCCGACCCAATATTTAGCATGTCTCAATGTTCACTTCCGTCGAGCAAACACTTTGCTACGGCTGCGACGGCGAGAAAACGTCAACGTTTATTCAGTCGACTCCCTAGACAGACAGGGATCTGTTTGCATTGGGACACAACCTGAGGGGCGGAAGGTGCCTTGGCGCGCATGGACTCATTTTTCGCCACTTTAAAATTCACTCTTTTCTCACGTGTGTCTCGTGCCTCGGCCAGCATTGGAAATCATGCGAAATAGGGCTTTGTTCGGCATAGGGGGGAAGACATTTTGCACTTCCACTAGTTTCTTTTGCTAATGTCAACTCACAGGTGTTAATCCGTAAGCTCTTGTGAAGCTGTGCAATTGTTCAAGCCACTTAGTAGGTCACAGGATTTCACTAAGTCTTGGCAAACTCCGTGATTACGTTGGTGCCCCCATCAAGCCGAAAGAATGAAAAAATGTGATAGATATAAAAGA